GTGCTATCTCCGTAGAGTTGTACTACATCTTTGCCACTCTTTGGGGACGAGAGCAATACACATTGTTTGGGATCCTCTTCATTGTGTACGGCATTCTGCTCAGTGTGACTGCCTGCATCTCTATAGCTCTGACCTACTTCCAGCTTTCAGCAGAAGATTATCGCTGGTGGTGGCGATCCATCTTCAGCGCAGGGTAAGCAGAAAATGTTTCTAACAAGTGTTACTTTATACTGTTATCATTTTTTAAGTTTTAAAAACTTTTCTCTCTTATTACGCACCAAAGAAAAAAGAAACGACATGAGTATATTTATGGAATGTACCAAAGGTTTGTTACATATAGAAGTGGTGCCAGCCCATGCAAATCTTCAGACTAGCTTTAATTAATCCTTAAAAAAAGTTTTGTGGATTACAACTCATTTTTGCATACCAGTTGGATGCAATATGTACTTTCAAGATCAAAATACAGGAATAGAATAAAGCATCTCAGAATCCTATAAGCAAGTCCTCAATAAAAAAATTTAAAATATTTTACAGTACTCCCAATGAATGGAGAAAGACAGTTAACAGATCTTGTTTGACCATACTTCCAATTAAGTGTTTTAAACTAGATTCGACCATACCTCTAATAAAACTAGTTTAAAATGTATATGCAATTTTGTTATAACAAACCATGACTACATTTAAAACGTATTCTAACTTTATAAATACAAGCTACCTGTGAATGATTTATGAACCCTGCTTAATGTCTCACTTACATATTCACTATAGTTGATGTCTTACTTATATATTCACTATACTTAATGTCTCACTTATGTATTCACTATACTTAATGTCTTACTTATGTATTCACTATACTTAATGTCTCACTTATGTATTCACTATACTTAATGTCTCACTTATGTATTCACTATACTTAATATCTTACTTATGTATTCAGTATACTTGATTATATGTCCTAACTCTAGTGATAAACTTGACTGATTATCTTCCAGATCCACTGGTCTGTTTGTGTTCCTGTACGCTCTATTCTACTACTACAAGCGTTCCAACATGTCTGGCCTCCTGCAGACACTAGAGTTCCTTGGCTACACCGCACTTACCTGTTACGTGTTTTTCCTCATGCTGGCCACTGTGTCTTTCTTTGCCTCGCTCAAGTTTGTACGCTACATCTATGTCAACATTAAGATGGACTAGCTGGTTGGTTAAAAGGTTATCTTTGGGGAACCTAATTGCTGCTTTATATTTGTCTATGACCGGACCATTATTTTCTTTTTCAACAAACTGGCTGTTGTAAAATCTCTGTGAAATCTTGTAGACCATAATCATGTATTTATTTATATGGCATGCAAGATAAATATTAGTATGGTCTGCCTTTGACTGCACATAAATTGTTTTAAATATACAAATGTACGAACTTTAAGGATTTGGTTTGTTTGGGGTTTTGTTTTTTAAACACAAGAGATAAATTGTAGTGGGAAAAATTTGAATTTTGTGCATCCATTCTTCAGTCACTTGAAAATGTAAATGTTTTATGCTTGAATTAGTTTGTGAATCATGTGAAACCTGTTTTGCATTCACTGTGTCACATAGTACTTTCACACTAATCTAGATGTGCGTGAGAGATGGGGGTTGGGGGGGGGGGGGAGAGGCTCACATTCTCCTGCCTGGATGTTTCAGTATATAAAGAATTTCTTACTTTACACATGCCATTTAGTGACTGCTGGGTGTGCCATTAGGTATCAAGACCTTTTTGTTAATGTCTGTAGTTGTCACAGACTTTTTTTTTTACTGTCCAGTACAATCTATGTCCTCTGCTGTTTACTGGAAAAAGGCTGGTCCATTCCTTGATTCTCCCATCTGTCTGTCACCAGTATGGTTTGGTGCCTTGTAGTTTAGTTTTGACTGTCTTAAAATTCAAACCATCTAAAAAAAAACTTTTTTATTTCCCTGAGAATGCTAAAAGATTAAATAAATGAGCCTATTAAAAGTTTTGTCCTCTTATCACTTGATTAACAAGATTATAATTACTTGATAAAGTAAGATCTGATGAGATGCATTGCCATTGTCATGCTCTAAATTCTTCTTTCGTTTTTTTTTTTTACAACTTTGGATAAGCCCTGCTTTAAATTTTTATTCAAATCCTTATTTAACCAATTTGTATGAATCCCACCTCAAGTTTAGTAAAACTTTTCACAAATTGTCTTAAGGTCTTGATTATTTGAATAGATGCAAGTTTCCCCACTTATATTGGACTAATGGACTTATTAGAAACTAGCCCTCTACTACAGTTAACACTATTATGACTAAATGCTGTGTAATCTACTTTGATTTAACCAGATTTGAAAGTATTATATCTCCTTTAGTCTCTCACTCCCGAGCTAAAGCAATAAAGTCTATGATATACATGAATGAATGTTGAATGCACAAGTCTCTTTACTTTTTTGTAGGACCTAATCTTTTTTCAGATAATTATTTTGGTTTCTCTCTGCGCACAGGTTTCTCTTCTACATGACAGCAGAAGATACATTGGATTTAATTGTGTTTGAATTTACTTTATTTTTAATATAATCTCCAATGAGTCTTCATTTCTTACATTTCAGTACAATCATTTGACTGCTTCATTACTATAATCAATTATATTTTAATGTTTGATATGTATCTATATATTTATATATATATATTTGATTGATTACATATAATTTTGTGTATTGAATTGTCTAAATGTTTGCAGAGTGGCCATAATGGTCAATGGTTTTTAACAGAGGTATTGATCAACTTGTTGAGTACATTTAATATTGTTCTGTAAGCTAAGTGTTGGTCTACTTGTTAAATACATGTTGTATAAGCTAATGACTTGTAGTGTTTGTGTGTGTGTGTCAGCATGTCATGTCTCCACTTGTACCATTGTTATATTTATGTTATACAGTTTTATTTCACTTCAGCATTTGTAAGGACAAATAGAATTTAAATTTAGCAATTTCTCATTATTGACTTTTTTTTTATTTTTTAACTTGTATACGCCATATAACATTTCAATCCTGCCCTAGCACAAACTGTATGAGTTCCTGTTAAACTTAGTTCCATGGAAACTAGTTTATTGTTGAGCTACACCCTAGCTGTCAGTTGTGTTGATCTGCATACTAAAAGGTGGACTAAGTTTTCATTTCTAAAATGTAGGATCTTACTGATATTGTATCTTTAAAAGGATGGATCTTTGCTTTGAGGTTCAATATGATTTTTTCTTTTTCTGGTCAATCACTTTTAGAGAAAAAAAAGTTTTCCGCTGAGCTTACTACGGTATCAGCAATTTAAGACTAATATTTAGTTGATGATGTAGAGAAAAATATTTCATCATTTTAAATAGAGTGTGACGTGAAATTGAGAACTGTGCCAATGGCAGCAACTAGAAGGCAGAAGCTTTGATGAAGGATGATGATGAAATGAAGTTTTAATTTTTTATTAGACTTTCAGCTATGTATCACATTGCCAGACATTTATATTTATTCTCTTTATTAGATCTTCATTTCATGGGTTACTTTTCATACAATTAGCTTTAAAGCACTATTAATTCTTCAAAATTAAAATTATTTAGAAATTGTGTCTATTATTTTTTAGAGTTAGTTTGGTCTTTAAAAAAAAATCTTTTCTTGTCTAGTATTAAAGATAGAGTAAAATTTAAAGTTCCTTTTTCAGACCTTGTGGTCTATAGGGCAGATGATGTAAAGGTCATCTAGTTCTGTGTCCTACGGTTAACAAGGGTGTCATGTGGCCAGCACAACGACTAACTGCCTTTACTTTTCCCCAACTAATGTCAGGTACCCATTAGAGCTGGGTGGATTCGGAGGCGCCCGAAGATCCCTAATTTAAAAATCCCAGGATTCGGACCCCTGTTCAGAAGCCAAGCGCTTTACCGCTCAGCCACCTCACCTCCTTGTATACTAGTATAAAAGATAATGTTGTAAAAAAAAACTTTAAGAAATTAAACAGTACTTATTATTTTTTTCATATTAACTGATAACATACACTGAAATGTGTAGCTAGTAGCTGTTCACTTTGTTTAAAACATGTCTGATGTTAGAAACATGTCTGATGTTAGCTTTCACATTTGACCCCCATGTTATAGCATCATTTTTTGGGGAGTTGTTTATTTTGCATGTAGTCTGTTTATTCCAACAATTTCTATTCTCTTGTTTCTTCCTCACATCTCACAGAGTTACCATTTCAGGGTTTCTGGTTCTTTGCATGTCCACAATCCTTTTTTTTTTTGTTTTTCAGTGATAGTCTTGGGTCCTTTGTCCATCTCTAAATAATAATGTGGTGGGTCTTTGTTTTCTTTATTAATAGCGCAAGCGTACATATGAACAATGATGATCTTTTTTTAAGGTCTTTCAAGAAAAGTTAACATTAATTTTATGGTCTGTTGCATATTTTTTTCAAGTATGCAAGTCATCTTTTGTAAATAAAATGTCTTTTGCAGTTTATTTGATTTATATTAATACAAAACAAAATGATTTAGATAAATACCTTAATTTATATTTCCAACTTCCCTTAAGTTAAATCATTGAAAGTGCCAATTTGTTTTTTAACTATGCCAGTCAATGTAGATCAAGAAGATTTTGAATATCTACCATCTTTAGAAAGTTGGAGAGTTTGTTTGTTGTTTTTTTTTTTTCTTTGGGATGGGTGGGGGGTCTAAAATTTGCATTCATTATATATATATATATAAATTTATACGCTTGAAGAGTGATGAGAGATATGTGTTTGTATATGTATATATGTGATGCATTATAAAGAGTTGACAACATTAAAACTGCTTATTATAACCTATTCAACTTTTATCTTGTTCATTGCTCTATTTATTGTTCCATTCAATGCACATTTAAATAATCCATAGTTGTTTTTTAAGAAGAAAATGTATGTTTGATTTCATTTTTTTTTTCATAATTATTTTTTATAACTTACATAAGATTTTACTGACTATTGATGGCAACCTACCGATTTTTTTGGATTGCTGAACACAGCTGGTCATGGTTTTATATGGCTGAACACAGCTGGTCATGGTTTTAGATGGCCGATTGTTGTGGTAGACCAGGCTATTTCTCAATGATGACATGGCTGATGTATGTTGGAACAAATGTTTTGGTGCTGGACTCATCATTGGATAGTTGTATATGGCTCATCACTGGTGATAGCTGACACACAATGTAATTGGTTAGCTGTCCCTGGACACAAGGTTGGTTGCCATCTTTGTTGGCTGGCTGTTGCTTTTGATTTACATGTGCAAATTTATTATAGGAAATTATCTATTGAACATTTGAAATGTGATATTTTGTTGTTGATTTACCTATGTAACCAATCTGAACATCACTACAAGATGAACACCTCAGAGCAAGACAGTTTTATTTCCCACTAATGCCAGATCTGACATTTGTATAATTGTAATTTGGATCTTGATTGATTCAGATTTGAATTAAGACCATTTAGTAGCTTTCAGAACTATTTTATAGTTTCATATTGAAGACAAATTCTATTATTCCATGTTCAGCATCTCTCTAGAATACATTAAAATGAACTTGTAATTTGTTAGACCCAGAAAGCACTATTGCAAAAGAGATTATGAATTTTAAAGATTCTGCCTGTAAATTGTTATGCTAAGAATAAGAAATCTATATTTGTTTGCTTTACTAAGAGGGATAGACTGCAATACAATTTACATCATTATCAAGTAGTCCATTCAGGAAAATAACATTGTCATACAGATTAATGCATTTTATGATTAAAACCTTTTTCTCTTTCTTCAGTTTATTTTTTGTTTATTCCACTTCTGATTAATTGTCTTGCTCTGATTATGATACACATCTTACTAAGTGATGAGTGCTTCTTGTTCTTAATAAAGATGCTACCAAAAATTCAATGATGTTTAATACTTTGATGGCACTCTCCAAATTTGTGGCAAATGAAGTTTTGTTCTGACACCTGATTTGTATTATATTAAATAACATGGAGGGTATTGTGTGTTTTCATTTATTGTCAGTTCCTCTTGTGATGTCTTTTTATCACTACTTATTGATAAATCATGTTTCACCATGTCCATTTTATTTTATAGAAATATTTTTCATGTAGATTTTTTTTTTTTTTTGGTTGGAAATTATGTTCATTTTTTTTTCTAAAAAAAACTGGTCATTTTCTGGTACTGACTGGTTTGCCAGAAGTGACTGTGCCTTACAAATACATCTACGCACTTGACACTATTTGGGAAATTTCATTAACGGTTGTTTCAATTTTTTAACAGTAAATGATTAAAATTGAACATTTTTTTGGTGTTCTCCATTTATAGAGAATAAATGATCATATCAAAGTGCACATGTTTTTGTCCATTGTATGTGATGTGAACATAACATTTCACACGCCTGCAAACTTTGCATTGGTCTAACAATTCTTTCTCAATAATAGATAAGTCTAAATGTTTATTCTATATTAGTGAAAATACATTTTTCATTAACCTTTAGATGAAAAAATTAGTATTATTTATTTATTTATTTTACAAAGCTTATATCAACTCACTCTGTCTGGTAAAAAGTTTGTACATGTTATTTCTCCAACTCCCAATCTCAGATCAAGTTGAAATTTGAACAATTTTTTTTTTTTTACCCGACAACACAAGAATCAATTTTAAAAAACAAAAAAATACAATTTAAAGAACAACAAAAGAATCAATTTTAAAAATTAACTATTAGAAATTAATTGTTTTGGTTATCTTGAATCATTTTCTCAACTGATCCAGATAATAGAATCATAGCATATTGAGAACCCTAAAAAGCATGAAATAGTGCTAAAGAAAACAATTGATAAAATATTTCTAACTAGTTGACCCACGGCGTAGCATGTGCCGCTATTTTGCAGGGCCGGCCTTAGGCCACTGCAACCTATGCGACCAAAGTGGGCCCCCCACTTTCATAGGACCCGCGCTAATTCTAGGTGTAAATTATTAAATTAAACCATTTTATAACTTATAACAGATTTCCCGCAGCCTCCTGATTTACCAGGAGCTCAAGGAAATCTCCTGAAATTGCAAAATATAAGAAAAAAGTCTTGGAAATCTCCGGAAATTATTAAAATCTTTTGAAAACTCATACAAATTTCCTGAAAAATATAGAGAAAAAAATTGTCATTTTGCAGTGTCATTCAATATGAAAAGCGCCAATCCTACATGCGATAACAAAAATATTTGCATTATGCAATACCCGTTATTGTGGAATGTGTTAAAAGAAGCTTCTTGCACCTCAAACTAATGGAGAATTACTTGAGGTCAACAATTTTTGAAGATAGATTGAAACATTTGGTAATTCTTGCTATTGCACATGATCTATTAGGAAACAGAATTTTTACGATTTAATTAATTACTTCGCTACACGCAAGGCTCATAAAGTAATTCTGTACATAGTAAAGAATGAATAAAATGCAAAGACAAATTTATTTTCTAACACAAACTCTTAATTTTCACTTATTATCCATATCCCTACCCCAACTTGGCCCTGCGAAATCCACCCCACGATGGTTAAGTCCTGTCCTGTTATGTAGTGATGGGTGAATACAGAGTAGATTACTTGTTCTCCCCCCCCCCCCTCTCCCTTTTTTTTTCTCTACTAAAGTTATGTGGGGTAACTCTAGTCCAACTTGCATAAATAAAAGAGTGACTTCTAGGTCACAATGGTTAAGTCTGACCATGCTATTTAGTGCCGGGTGAGTACTACTTGTTCCCCATCCCTCTTTTATTTTGGCCACTAAAGTAACGTGGGGAAGTTCTAGTCCGACTTACAGAAATAAAAGTGATCTTTCCTTTACTTCTTGTCAGGAATTGTTGAGCCATGAAGAAAATTATATATATATTGATTGCACAGATTTATTTTTATTGTTGTTGGTCTAGATCAGTGATTCCCAAAGTTGTCTATATAGACCTCCAGGGGGTCCATGAAAGTGAAAAAGTAAATTGGGGGTCTATGAGATGTCCATGGGGGTCTACGGTGGTGGATTTCATTTAAGCAAGTTATAACTTTAATTTTCACACTCCGTTAATTTAACTATTTCAAGCACGTATAAATAATTTGTAATTTAGTTATAAATATTTGTCCTGCTATTGAAATGTAAAATTGTATTTAATTTCAATACTTATCTAAATAGTTACTTTTGTCTACATGTAACTAATGTTTAACAAAAAGAAATCTAGATTTTACATCTTAGATTTTTTATTTCCTTGGTTAAATAAGCGGATGACTAAGTGCCTTGGAAATGTTTTGTTTTGGAAATGTTTTACATGTTTCGGATGTTCCTTCGGAGTCCAAGATAATTACTTCCTAGTCCAAACCTCCCGCAGGATGACGGGGGATGGGAGGGGCAGGGTTTGAACCCTTGACCATCGATGAATCTGAACGACAGTCCAGCGCACAACCAAACAGCCATCCTTTTTATGACCATATGAAACCAATTACACTGGAGGATTATTTGAGACGATGCTACCCTCGTAAAAAAATAAAGGTGATAAAAAATTTCAAAAACTCAAAAATAAAGTTCAGAATAAACCCACACAATTTTTCTTCAACATCATATAGAAAAGATGGTGATTTGTGAGTTACAAAACCTTTCCCATGTTTGGGTATAGCTGCAAAGCAGCAAATTATTGAATTCTTTCCTTTGGCTTGGTGGGCTGCAAGCCAAGGCTAATGAGTTCTTCCTGCCAAAGCTTACTGATTTAGGCACCAGTAACTCGTCTTTGACCCTTCTCATGTTAGTGAAAACAGCTCCCAATATTTGAGCCAGATGTGAAAAATCAAGAAACACACTAGAAACTGCTCTTTTCGAAAACTTTTTAAATGATATTTAAGGCAAATTGATTAATTAATTAATATTTAATGTTTGAAGGACTACTTCATAAAACAAAAAATTTCTATATGAAACATAATAACCTTAATAACGAATGATGAACATGCAAAAAAAAAAAAAAAAAACATTTCTAGTGTGTTTGGTGATTCCAGCAATACATTTTATTTTTTTTTGGTTTAAATTTTATCAGTCAAAAAAGATAGATCTCTGTAACTTTTGATGTAGCTTTAAATTACTTTTTCTCTCTTCGACTCAATACAGTTATAAATTAGTTTTAATTTAAAAATGAGTTTATGAATCTGCAAAAATGCAATACAAATTAAGCAGAGGTCTACAGAAAACATGGCAAGGGGTCTACAAGACAAAAAAGTTTGGGAACCACTGGTCTAGATCTATACAAATTTAATAAAATAACTGATCAAAACTAATTGATACAATTGCACTTTGTATAAGCTTTTTTTTTAAAAAAGTTTATGTTTTTCTTCTCTGAAAATGAAATTTCTAGCTCAGATAGCTGATTTAGGCAAAGATCTAGAACTGTTATCTTAGTTGCAACCGTAAATAAATCTAGATGATGAGAAAAGTAATCATTGTTTTCCACAAAAACTCTAATCATATGTGTTATTCTGTTACACCATTTCTAGCTGTTTTCTGGCACAATTGTATAAAACTTAAGAAATCCATAAACTTTACTTTGTGTTTTTTCTTTGGATAGTGTATTTGTACTTAATACTGAAAGATTCTGTTGTATTTTTCAAATTTATCATAATATTTTAAGAGCTGGGTTAAAAAAGAGTTTATTTGTATAAATTTAATAATTCTTTTCCCAAAGATATACATTAACTGTCAAATTTTAGGGGAAATCATTAGTCGTTTTCGAGAAGCGAGTCCACCCATGTTCTTGTTTTTTGCTTCAAACGTCTTGTTTCTTTCCAATGAAGAATTTGCAAGCTGAGAAGAATGGCAAAAATAAATTAGCCTCTAAGCATCTGTATTTCAAGATTAGTATTAATAATAATTTAATTTCTATTATAGAGCTGTCACATGAGAGTTAAAATGGCAAACTAATTTAAATAGGTTTTGATCAGGTAGGTCTTAAAATTTCATTTATTAAATTTTTTTATAATTTTAATTACTTTAAATTAATAAAAAGCAAGAAACTGTGATTTCAATGTTTTATTTTTTGGTCGGCATCAAATGAAGTAAAACTACTGACACCTACGCAAGTCAAACTAGATTAGCTTAAAACAAAAGTATGTCAATCAGACTATCAAGTAGAACAAAGAAAGTCAATGACAACAAATGTTTTTCAACAGTGGATATTCAAGTGCAATGATGAGTTAGTGTCTGTCTAATGCAGAAGAAAAAAAAAAACTAGTGTAGAATGGGAAACGGTCTACTGCCAAAATGTCTTACTTAGAAGATATTTCTTTATTACCTTGAGCTGGCACTGAGAGTAGAAATAAAAACTCTTTAAGATCATTTTTTCTTTTAAATGAAGTAAAACCACAACATTTCATTTAATGCATGTATGTACAAGTTAATGGCATAGCAAGGAGGGAGAGAGGGCATTTTTAAAAGCTATCTTCATCTAGTTTTTTTTTTTTTCCAATTATATTTTTAGTCTTATTTATTAAAAAAAAAAAAAAAGGAACTGGAATATTTTGTAGACAGATTTGTATTATAAGAAAAATATTAATAGGGACCGGTAAGACCTGTTTTATTATTATTATTTGTATTATATTTCTTAATATACAATAAAATGTGTATTAGAGGGGAAGGTCCCAAGTTATGTTCGCTATGCCACCTTTAACTTTAAAACAAAAAACACACACAAATTAACTCTGAAGCAATCAAACAAAAACAAAAAATTGTTTAAAGACATTCATAATAAATTGTTACCCGACACAACATATTTGTCAAAAACTTTCATTCAAAATAAGCAATCCTAATCTATACAAGGTTCAGTCAAAACCTTTGTTCCAAAAAGAACAAGACAAAGTTCGTTTAAAACCACATTAATAATGTATGTATGGAAAAGTAAAAAAAAAAACACCTCACTTGTTTCCTCTTTCACTCTTTAACAGTGACACAAACAAAGGATAACAAAGCAACAAAACCAATTGTAATCAGACAACATTCTTCTCAAAAACATTCAGTCTTACAGTCTAAACAGCAATTCTCTTCAAAACAAGGTTCATTCATGCACATTGAAATGACAGTGATATCAAAACATACCTAGATAAAAATTAAATTATTAAAAACAAAACATGCATTGAAATTAACAACTCGAATGAACACTTTAAAAATTAAAAAAAAAAAAATAATTTAGTATTGCTTCAAGAAATAAGCTTGTATGAATGCGTTTAGCTGTAGTTTATTTTCGCTCCACTGGCTCATCCTTTTCAGAAGAAAATTAAAGAGAGTTCACTGTCTAGCCCTTACTCTTGCCATTCTGTTTGTAAAGCCTAGGTCTTTGCT